CACGGATCCCGGGACCGATGCCACTCAAAGTTCTACAGCAACTGCCTCACAGCGGACACTCACTAACAACAACGGCACGAGCGTGACCCAGGTTCAGTTCGTGATGATCATCGCCTGTGCTAAGGCCGCTTCAGCTGAAGCCAGAAGGCTTTTGGAACGTGGCCAGAGAGAACTAGATGCCGCGACTTCGTCATCGTCGGGCCCTCAAGTCAACATCGACAAGCTTATCAAGAACCTAACGGAGAAACTCGGTGTGGTTCCACCTAATATAGTACCGGACGAGAAGGTCATGAAGCTACTCTCGAAGTCTAGCAGTGCGTATGTAGACTTCAAGCTTCTCAACGTCTCTAACTCTAACTCAAATGCAAGGAAAAGATTGAGAACCACTACAACGGGGCTGGTTGTCGAGGTATACGAAAAACCTGAGGATTCCCGCTCTGGCGATAATGGTCTCGTTCTCGACATTATGGGGGCTTGGACAGCGCAGTTTGGTAGATATGTCGCGGGCGTATGTCTGGTCGACGAACATGCAGCGAACAACATCCTGACATTTCTATCGTATCAGTGCGAGATCGGCCGTATCGCCCTGTACTCTCCGGCACGTGCGGTCGACGCTGATCGTCAGTTCCGCATGTCAGTCCCTGGCATCGCAGCTACGGGAGTTCCTGTCTGGCAGTGCTATGCGCAGGAGCACACGGCCCCCTTTTTCTCGAGGCTTCTAGCAGAGATGGCAAACCGGCGCATGTGGAGCACGTACCGTCAGCCAAAGGGGGGCAAAGGAAAAGGAAAAGGAAAGGGGAAAGGATCAGGAAAAGGAAAGGGGAAAGGATCAGGAAAAGGTAATCAACAAAGTTGGTCGTGGTCCGCCAGCGGGAAGGATGTCGATAATAAGTCTTTCGCAACTGGAGACCAACCCAAAAGCATGCCATCCAAGAAGTAAGCTGGCAGAAAGTTGGTGATGGATGGCAATATGCTCGTCTCTCTCAGGTGATCTGCGATGATGAGACCTTTCTCTTCTAAAACGCACACTAGAGTGCGAGTCTAGCTCTGAGTAGCACTGATGATGGGTTTCACGTATCCCCTGGAGTTCAAGTTACAGTTAAGCGGATGGTGCGGACAATCGCCTGTCAGGCTCAGGTGAAAAAAAAACACTGACATTCACTAGACTATCCCTTGAACTCGCCGTCGTCCGAACCTTACCCAGCAGTCACTAAGTACCACATAGCTGTTTTTTCCCTCTATGACCAAAAATCGTCAGAGGTCCGAACAAGCGCTCGAGCGCCGAGCACGCATCAAGCGGACCAGACGTGCTGTGAAAAGGGCACGCGTGCCGGCTAAGATAACCACGACTCCTTCCTGTCAAGTTACAACTCTCTCGGCTGGCCATAACGAGCAAACTCAGTTACTCCCAGTGAACATCGACAGCACGGTTCATCCTGCCGATAGAAGAGCTGTGGAACTTTACAAAGTCGCTATCACCGAGAACCGCGCAAAGGAAGCCGAGCTCGTCAAGGGAATCACCGATGGGTCGGCCATGGCGGAATGCTGTGAATGGGGAAGACTACTCGGGCAGGCGGATCC